GATCAGTTTCTTCCTTATTTTATTGGTTCTTGTTTTTGCGGTGCCGCGCTTGTGCTCCCTAACATTGGATTTAGGCATGGACGTTGTTGACGGAGTTATAAGCAGTTTTAGTTATGGCTTCTACACACCACATGAGATAAGATCGCTCTCCGTACTCGAAATTACGTCTGATGCGATCTTTGACAGTATAACAAATCGCGGAGTTGACGGTGGCCTTCATGACATGGTTCTGGGTCCATGCAGCGAAAAGGACGTATGTGCACATTGTGGCTTGGGGTTTTTGCATTGTCCTGGCCACATTGGTCACATTGAATTCTCCAAACCAGTGTATAATCCTCTTCTATTTGACCTTGTTGTGCGCGTAAGTATGCATATTAAGTCAATTTTTCAGTTATTAAAATCATTCTGTTTTTCTTGTTTCAAAATTTACGATGTCGATCTTCTCTCCGCTTGCTTAGAATTATTGGGCCTTCCAGGTATTTATGTTTCCATAACTAACGGACTAGATCTTCTTCTTCCGAGCAAGCCAAAGCCGTCGGAAATTAGTGATCTTAAGAGTCTTACCCCTTCGGAGTTACGGAGGGTCGCTATTCGTTCCATGTCTACTCGTCGACGCATTCCATGCAGAAATTGTACTTCTAAGGCATGGGTGCTAAAGCACGTGAACCACCAACAAATTGTAATGAGGCCCGTGTCCGACATTCGAAACTCAAGACATGTTGCCGTTTCCAAATATAATATGTGCGTAAGCGGCCAACTTGCCTTGAATGTTGCAATATTAAATACATTCGCATAAATTTTGTAAGACTGTAATTGGATGTACTGCTTATTTTTTGTTCTTCATGCATGCAGTGGGGATAATGACCCAAACTACGAACCTGGTGAGCTGGAAAGTTGGGCCCAAATCGAAGCGCAGCTCCTGGGGGACAAGTATACCTCCAGACCAGTGGTTTCATTCGAGAGCGAGGGTGTTGTTAATGATGGCATTGAATTTAGCGATTTGGCTGAATCTGTTCGCGAAAGATTAATGGAACTGTCATCAAGTTCTCAAAAAGAGGCATTTTCTTCCCCAGGTAATAGTGATAACCACAGCTCTCCAAATTTCTAGCATACCACTAAACTTAGAAAAGAGCATATTTCGTTTCATCAAATTTTTATCTACAAGTAGTTCACAAGCGTCTAAGGAACCTAATTAGTCGCAGAGGTGTGAGATTGCATGGATTTTTTCGTAGGTTTTAACTCCTTTGTGTTTCACGCAAAGGTTCGAATTCTCCACTATTGCCCACACTTCTGCTGTAGAGTTGGTGCGAGACATGCTGCGGTGTGTTTGGATGCAGGATTCGTCCATTCTTCGAGTTGTTCTCCCCTTTTTGCATTCCGCATCAGCAAAATTTCATTATCCAACTGACGTATGCTTTATGGATGTGATGCCTGTCTCACCAACATTTTGTAGATGGGTAAGTTTATAAGCGCGTGTGCGTGTTGTGAGGGCAATAGAGAGGACTTGGGCATCATTGTCTTCCTAGCCCCGTATGATCGGCTGGCTGGTCTACGAACATCCAACCACCGCGCTCTTTTCT